AATGAGCTAAAGACCTTAGAAACACTAGCATTCCCCCCAACGCCCCTTCTCTTAAAAAAAGAAAGCCTGAGAGAAACAATTTAAGACAGATTGCTGCAGAGCTAGCTGGTGATCATTTCTCTAGCGTGTGTCACTGGGCAGGTGAGGGGAACAAATCATTCTCTTTGTAGGAACTCTTAAGCACCACATTTGCAACAGTACTTTCAAGATTAACATGCTTTTCAAATATTCTGTGTCTTGAATACAAAAATATACAGTAATACAAAACTGAGGTTATAGACTTAAATACAGCTCAGGAAATCTGGAAATAAGGTTTGCATGTCAATATTGATTTGTCCACAGAGCAGAGATTAAATTACATAAACACACTAGTAATAATAAATAGTGTATATGTGCAAAAGAGGCTGCTTGTTTCCTTATGAGCCAGATGTAAAGATTTACAACTTTAACATTATATTTTAAAGACCAAAGTGAAACTGAATATAAAAAAGTAAAACTGATCAGTCTAGTTTCCTTGCTAAATATGAACAAAAAATAAGAGATTTAAAATAATTTCACTTAATAGTTACAATTCCAAGGATTCTCTTTAGAAACATAAACAATTTGCATCTTCTCAATGTCTCTTTCATCAGGCTTCACCTAAATACCATTTAACCAGTCTTAAGCACCAAACTGCTTAAACATCATTGGCATTGGTTTCATACTTGCAAATAAGGTATACTGCTGATATATTTTATAAATAGCTTTGCTGGTTGATACAATATTAGAAAAAGTAATTTGGCTCTCTTTCTGAACACAATGCCCATCTGAGCAGCCTTGTCCATTATCAGAACCCTTCATCTGACTCTGCGTCCCAGCCACAGGATTCCACCTGTTCATCCTGTGGGAACACAACCTCAACATTGTAGATGAAATCTGGGTCATCCTTCTTCTTCCTATTCTTTTCAAACAGCTCATCCATGATGCTTTTCCTTTTGGCCAGCTCCTTGTCATCCAGCTTGTTCATGTCCTCTTCTGGGTCAATGGCTTCTTCCCTCTGAACCTGTTCTAAACTCTGGGCCAAACTCTGTCCCTTCAAGTGTCCTTTCAGCAAACTGTATAATTTCTGCAGCTGCTGCAATGAGACACTTTCCAGGTAGGCCTTATGCCGAGGGTTATTCTTCAGCTGTTCTGCAGCTCTGCTGCAATCTGAAAAAAGATCCCAAAGGAGTGCTTGAGGCTATACTACTTCAACACGTACTGTTTCTTCAAAGCTCTTTCTCTTGGGGGAATGAGGCTGCCCTCAGAGTGCCACTATTCCATTTGAGATGTGGCCTTCCAGATCTCCCAAGGCTAGACAGCGCTAGGTATTCCATCTCCAAAAAGGAGTCTACAGACTCTCCTGCAATGCTGGTGAGAAGCAGCCTATCGCTACTCAATGAAGTACCATGTCAACAACCCACTCTACCCTTTGCTGTTTTGGGGAAGTGACCTACAGCAAGGCTGTCCAACTTCTCAGTGGTGGTAGGGGGGCTGCATGCTGTGTGGGTGCCCCTGCTGTGCTGCACTGCACAGGTTTCCTGTCTGCCCCCACCCTCCACACTGTACCATGCTGCACTGTGTGGGTCCTATCCCCTTGCTGCACCATGCTGTGCTGAGCAGACCTCTGCTGCACAGCAGGTGACCCCTGTCTGGCACCTCTGGGTTCCACAGGGGGCTCTGGTTCCTCCTATCTCCCCCAACCATAGGCTCCTTCAGCCCTGGTGGGGTGTGCCACTCTGCCCAGCTTCCAGGGTGGGTGCAGGCAGGAGAGACTGGCAGCAACGACAGGAGAACGACAGAAGTGGTGCCTGGACTGGCAGTCTGTGGCCCTTGGGTATGGCCTGAGGGCTGCCAGTTGGACAGCCCTGACCTGTGGGATGCCCAAATTAAATGTACCATACCTGAAAACTTGGAGAAGTTTCGGATTGGCATGATGCGCTTGCGAGTTTTCTCCTGGTTTTGGTCTTCGTAGATGAGGATAATGGATGGGGGCTGAAAGTGGATGCCGCATTTCTTTGCTATGCAAGTCATCTCAGCCCTTGTTTCCAGCTGATCCAAGTAAAACCTTAGAGAGCTTTGCTAAGGTGGATGTTTCTGCATGCCCTGCAAAGAAGAAAGGAAAGTGTGAATGAAACTGGCTTGGCTGCAAAGAACGTAACAGTGTGTGTAAGTCTCATTGTCTTCAGAGGACTTAAAGGCTTAAGTGCTTTGCTGAACTGGCCCTGGTGAGCAGAGATCCTGGTTTTCCCTAAAAAAAAAAAAATCCCCAATTTTCAGATTTAAAAAAGTAACCCAAAATCCACATTTTTCCATGATTAAAATGAAACACCATTTCATTTTAATCACAAAAATTTGTGGATTTTAGGTTACTTTTTTAAATTCAAAAATTGGTGATTTTTTATCAGAGAAAACCATAATCTCTGCTGATGAGTATGACACCCCTACTGCTCATTTGCAGGTTTGTCACTACTCTACTTCTGAATCTGGACTGTTCAATTATCCTATGCGTACTACAGTGTTTGTGCTACAGGTGAAAGACGGGTACTGGACAATGAAATAATACCCCAAAGATAGTTTCTATTAAAAATACATGCAACAACAAATGAATGTAACAATATTGTAACAAATCCATGACCATTTGGATCAGTTAAAAAGTTTGGGGGATAAGTTTCAGCTCCTCCAGTAGCAAAATCAAAAACCCTTACTACTGCAGCTAACAGTAAATCTCTGTCTCCTGTTAGATGGGTTCTGTCATCTCTAAATCCAATTTATATAGAGAAATGTGTCAAAAGTAGTTTCAGGTACTGCTTGTTACCAAGTCCCCCTGACAATTTTGGGATTTTACAAAAGCTCTTTTCAATTAAAAAAAAAACCCACCTTTTTTTCTTGCTTGTTGCCATATAAAGACCCACAATAAAAAAGGTTTTGATCCCACAAATACTTGTGCATGTGTTCAACTGTAAATGTATGACCAGTCCCAATTAAATCAATGGGGTGCATCCCAGGTTTCAGGTGAAGCAGATGGATAAAAGTTTGTAGGAATGGCATCTAGCTTTGTAGAGCTCTGACCCTATGATCAGCTTTGCCCAGAAACAAACTTCCTTTGCAAAATCAGGAACGAAGCAGGAACACAGAGAAACAACCTCAACATAAACTGAAAAAGAGAATTAAGAGAAACCCCTTTAATTTTTCACTTGTCATATATACAAGCTGAGATACAGCTATTGAATTTGAAGTATCCTTGTAATAGTTAAAATACAATATTACGGAAAAGATTTAAAATGTTTTTAAGTTGGGAATGTCTTTTATATAGTGGCTCTCGCTCTTTTTGAACTTGAGACACCCCCATGGGACTTGACCCACCCCTTACAGGACTCGAAGCACCTCTCATGAGACTGGAAGTGCCTCCCTGTAACTCTTGTAAATTGAGGGGTACCCCATTTCAAAACTGAATCTATTATCCTGCCGTGCTGCCCTCCTTTCAGAGAACCTGGGCAGTGGGTGCTGGGGGACGGGCTGGGCAGGGACAAGCCCAAGTCCTTCTTTATCTGTGTAAGTATCTCCTCACACCTGGAAGCCCCCTTCAAAGCATCTCATGACCCACCAGAGTGCCAAGGTGTTTAGGTGAGAAACACTGCTCTAATATAGGTATATGCACATACATACATATATACACACACACATACATATATGTGTGCGCGCGCGCGTGTGTGTAGGCATGTGTGCGTGCGCACGTGATACATACGTGATGAAGTCGCGCTGCTTGCCCCGCGGCCCCAGGCACCCCGCAGCCCGCAGACGGCTCACACGCACCGTTTGAGGCCCGCCCCTTGGCCGGAGCGGGGCGGTCGAGGACACAGATCCTGGCGCCGCCGCCAACCTCAGTTACCATGGCAGCCACATCTGCAGGCCCCCCTCGGGACTGCCCCGTGAGTTGCCTGACCTGTAGCGAAGGACCGACGGCCGGTCTCCCCACCCTCGGACAGCGTCCGCTGGGGGTGGCCGGGCCTCGGTGCGCTCCGCTGCGCGGGAAAGCGCTGGTTTAAAATCAGGCACTTACGGCGGGCTGCTATGGAGGCCTCCGCCTGAGGAGGTGGTGAGTGCGGTCCTGGGCTCGGGGAAGGAGTGGCGGGGGTGGGGGCTTCTTTACTGTCTGCGAGGCCGCCCCCTTCAGAATGGTGCGGTCTGATCCTGGCGGGGGCGGGGAGCAGCGCGCGGCGGGTGCTGGGGGCGCTCTGAGAGCTGGGCCGTCCCGCCAGCCTGCACCGGGCACAGCGCGCCTCGGGGACACACACGCACATGTGATGCATACATACATATTACCTATATACACATGGCAATCGGGGCTCGTAGTAGAGATGATATCTGAAAAAGTCTTCTTTGCAAAAATCTTGTTGGTCTCATAAAAAATATCATCTCTTCTCTGAGTCCTGATTGCCCTTTTCTCTAGAGCTACAACCTGGATACCTGATATATACACATGTACACATGTATGTATATAATATGTGTGTATATGCATATGCTTTTGTGTTTGTGTATGTGTGTGGTCTTATGTGTGCGCGCATGTGTGTTTGTGTATAGCACAAGCTTTTGTGACCCCAAGTTGACTTCATCAGATGCTGTGGAAGGCTGTGCAGGAAGCAGAGTACAGTATGAGATGTTACAATAGAGGGGGCAAGGGAGAGGGGAGAGAAAGAGGGATGGGGGAGGGGACAAGGCTGGGAGAGAAAAGCAAAGGAGCAGGAAACCCATAGGAACAAAGTGGGTGACAAAAGCTAATTCCAGTAATGAGATAAGCCCCAGTCCCTGTTTAAACCAGGCTGAACACACTCCAGTCTGTGGATGATTTCTTGTTCTGCAGTTTCTCATTCAAACTGCCTGTTTTCCCATAAAAAAATTGGTAGCCTGAGAACAGCAATCCTGAGGGTAGTGATAAAGCATCCAGGGAGGTTGAAATGTTTTTCCACAGGCCTTTGTGTCTTTCTGCAGCTGAGGTCAGATCGGCGTTCATTCTTTCTTACACGTAGAGATCGCCCTGCCTACTCATTGTAGACAGCAGACAGGCATTGTAAGCAGCCAGTGGTGCATGTGACACTAGTAGAGTTGCAGGTGAATGAGCTTTGGATGTTGCATGCCTTGTTATTAGGTCCAGTGATGATGTGGTCTGTACTGATGTGGGGATGCAGCAGGCATTTGTGTCATTTATGTGCCCAAGTGCATGCAGCGGTGTGTGATCGCAGGCTGTGGCTGCTCTGTGACTGTTCCTTTGCTCAGCGTCTGTTTTGTTGCAGGTGCAGCTGGCAGATGTGATGCGGGGCCCTTGGAAATACAGCCTCTCAATCAGCATGACCTGGCTGCTCTGCGTGGCAGGACATAGGTGTAAGCGAAGCAGCTCAAAGCATCAATATGTTTATTTAGCAAATGGAGGAACAAACAGTTTGAATCAGGGGTTGGCAACCTATTACCCTTGGTCTGCATCTGGTCCATGGACGTGGGGCTTTAGTGGCAGGTGTTCCTCCTGAGTCACTTCAACGATAAGCATTGGTTGGGTCTTGGCATCTGTCCACTGGCCTATGACCTGGGGTGGGTCATTCTGGCCGAGAGCCAGGAAAAGTTGCCTACTCCTGATCTAAGTATCTGGTAGTTTGAACAGTTGGAATGTAATTTGTATGCCCAGGATGAGAGAGGCTCTGACATAATGGAAGTGGGAAAGGCTGTCTAGCTCTCTGTTTCAGACTGCTGCACTGTGTATGAAGGAATATTGTGACCAATCAGTCTCTCCTGAAATAAAATACTTGAGCACACAAAGGGCCAAACCTGTTGGATTAAACTGGTGCTGCTGCTTGAAGTTAATGGAACTAATTGTGCTTTCATCTGCAGTAAATTTCATCTACATTAAGCCTTCTGCAACCAGGGAGATGCTTCTGCTTCTTAGTTATATGTATAATGCTGCTTCTACATTGAGCTAAATTGGAAATAAAGGAACAGTTTCTATGGCTGCTATGGCCTCCAAAGATGCTGCCTGTTATAGGAGGACTCTCAAAAAATTGTATTTGCTGTCTTCTTTTTTATGTTGGAATAACTCAAGAATGCTAAAATCATGTGAAAAGGAAGCGTACAGTCCTGTAAATATTAATTTCTGATTCCTGGTGTTGTGACTATTTCCCACAAATTTCACAGGAAAGATTTTGCACGTGTGTGTAGATGTTGTTGGAACAGCATCAGTTGGAATTAATCATTAGGGGTTTTTGAAATGTTCATATAATCAAAACCAGGGTATCATCTACATACATGTGGTTTCTTGCTGTATGTGTGTCCACATGAGTGTGCGCACACAGGCATGCTTACAAAAACAATTGCAGAAATCAAGACTAGACTAGGATAAATCTGTTGGATTGCTTGAGGTTCAGAAGAGTTATACTTCATGGTGGACCATATGTTTTGAACAATTTAAAAACAAATTTAGTCTGATAATATGATATCAAACATCAGTAGATGATTAGAATTAACTGGATTTATATACAAACAAGTACTGTAATTCCTAAGGGGCTTTTGCCTTTTCTTCAGCTGATTATTGTAGTGTGGTCAGCAGTTTTGACCACAGCTGTCTAGTTTAGGGTTGAACATCTGGAATCCTTCTTTACAGACATTAGGCAGCACAGGCTGTTGTTTAGTTAGACTATAATCCTGCAAGCACTTATACACATGCATCATTTTAAGCACTTATTTGTTTGCATGTCTGAGGACTATGTCTGGAAACTGGAGGACCAGAGGGAATTATAGGGTTCTGTCTGCTTGTCTAGTGACCTAATAAAGAAACCCCTTTATAGTGAGTCCTATCACTTAATTTTATGAATGATTCAACAGCTGCTTCCTTCAGATGGATAATAAGTTCAGACTTATTGGAACCTTCTTAAAGAAGCCCTGGGGTTGTAGTTGTGAAAATGTAGGCAATGCTGTAGGCACTGTAAATGTCTATTTTCTGTGTCCTAGATGTACTGGCCACTTGTCCTGATGTCACTGTGACTCGAGAGGTTCTCAAAGATGGATTTCACAGGTGAGTTGACTGTAATCTGTTGCTCAGATAATGTATTGGTTTACTAGTGTGCCACTTTACAGCCTTCCTCACTGTATGTTCCTGAGTGGTTCCATCTGATGCATGTACCACTGAACCCAGGCACTGCACTGAGATTACTCATGAGTAAAGTTAGCTGTGTGTATGATTTTTGGCAGGATCGGGGTATAAATATTTCACAGACATTAATCAGTTACATCGGGGTAAGACCATGAGGCCAACATGTAAAATGTATTTAATATCTTTTGAAACAGTTTATAGTGCATAAATGGGGAATTGAAAAATAAAGTAGTCATATTGATTGTCAGAGATGTGGAAATAGAATAAAGTATTGTTCCCTAAATGGAGAAGGGCAGACTCTCTGTATAAAGAAATTACATTTTTGCTATTCTTAGAACTTACTTTAAAAAAGCACATTTAATCTATGTGTGTTTTGAGGTGATCTATCTACAGTTTCATAGAGTTATCTGAAATTTGTGCATTCTTTTTTTTTACCTGCTTTTTTTTAAAGAGACCTACTAACAAAGGTAGAACTTGGAACAGTGGATGAAGACGTAGGACGTTGCAGTGTGGCGATTAAAGAACAGCTTCCAGCAGGACTCTATGTGGACCCCAATGAGCTAGCATCATTACAACAGCACAATCGAACTGAGGTAAAATATGAGGGCAAACTTCAACGAGCTAAGGAGGATAGCTGGGGAAGTGCTGAGGTCCCAGA